TAAAAAAAAAAAAAAAAAGGGAGGGTTAAGCCAAAAAATTACTCCTTTTAACTCCAGTTACCCATATAGAGATGCATGTAGAGTTAAATCCTAATAACCAAGCCCTTAAAAACCAATCACAAGTATGTTTACAAACTAACAAGTTAGTGTTTGTTTTTCTATTAAAATTAAAATTGAATAAATACATAAAATAAAAAAAAATAAAATAAATGGAAGGTCATAGTAAATTACTCATTTCATTCCTCCTTCCAAAAGAAAGAAAAAGGAAAAAAAAAATCCAAAAACCAGGCACTTTGTCATTCCTACTGTAGATGCATGTCAGCCTGAACACATGTGTCTCTGTTGAGCGGTCATTTATATGGTTGCCTGCTGGAGTTTTCCTTCTTTCAACTTAGTAGGGAGTATTTCTGATCTTTATTGCCCCAAATAAATCTGCAAAATGCTTTTTGCTCGAGGCTCTTTATTTTAATTTCAGATAAATAAATCATATTAGGTTACTGGCTGTCATATTAAGATAAGCATGGATCTAAAAATAACAAACATATTTCAAACCAAATGTTTTTAGATTAAATAGTGGTAAATTTCTCTGGGTGACCCCCAAATCCTACTGATGTTGAAATATGTTTGGTACTTTGAGAGTGTTTCTTGAAGAATATAAACCAGTTTAAATTACAAGTTGAATTATTTTCACATCATCTGTGGACCTACTTATATGACATTATTCAACACAAGCTTCCCATGGCTGCAGTAAATCCATCTGTAAAGTAAGGATATTTCCTCAGTCACATTAGAGGGCAATTTTATATCTTTGTAGGTTAATCTAATGCCTCTATTCATACTGTGGTTTATATATTAACTATAAAGAACTCTAGACCTGAATTTCTCATAATCATATGCATTAGCTATACTGATATCCTTAAAAGCATTTCAAATTCAATCTATTCAATCACCAGTTTTTCATCTGCCCTCACTCTACCAGAGCTGCTCTTACTCGGGACTCAGGTCAAAATACCAACTTCTTGGGGGAAAACTTCAGACTTTTGAAGGACAGTCTCTAAAAAACGTGTTTTACAAAAACATATGTTCATTTTTTTTGCAAACAAGATTTGGGTAAAGAGGATGAAATACAACCTACATGATTTTAAATAGTCTATTCTACACATTTATTGGGTTAGGATGTAAGTATATGTTCTCTGCTGGATTAGGATGGCCCTTCAAAAACAGAAGGGTGTAATAATCTCAATATCCATCCATATTGTCACAAATGGCACTATTTCATCTTTTCTTAAGGCAGAATAGTATTCCATTGTGTATATGTACCACAACTTCTTTATCCAATTATCTATCAAAGGACACTTTGGTTGTTTCCATATCTTGGCCACCATAAATAAAGCTGCAATGAACATTGGTGCACATATATCTTTATGGATAAATGTTTTCAGATTTTTGGGGTAGATACCCAGGAGAGGGATTGTTAGGTCTTACAGTAATTCTATTCTTAATTTTTTTTTTAAAGATTTTTTTTTGGGAATTGGGGGAGGGAACAGCATTTGGGGAATTGGGGAAGGGGAACAGACAAGTTGCTGTCCTTTTGTTCTTCAGTCTAGTTGTGGAGGACGTCACCCCACTGGCCCATGTTGGTATTGTGATCCTTACGCTCTTCCCGGCTGAGGCAGATTGGTCGTCAGTCATTGGACAGCCATCCACTGTGGCTCTTGGCAGCTCATGCCAGCTGCCAGCCACTCATGCTGACTGCCGGCCACTCAGGTTAGCTCATGGCAGCCGACTGCAGCCCTACCGAGCCTACACCAACGCCAGTGACCCATAGCAGCCTAGCTCCAGGTAAAGCCATTGTTCACCATCTCAGCTGCAAAGGGAGCAGTGTCACTGGCCCTCATGTGGGATCCAAACCGGCGGCCCTGCTGCTCAGAGCCTGCACTCCTAAGCCAACTCTCAACCAATGAGCCACTCGGCTGGCCCTCTATTCTTAATTTTTTGAGGAACCTCCACACTGCCTTTCATAGCAGCTGCACCAATCTGCATTTCCATCAACAGTGTATGAGGGTTCCTTTTTCTAAATAAGTCAGACAGAAAAAGTCGAGAACCATATGATTTCATTGATATGTGGAATATAAAACTGAAAGCAACAAAGGAATAAGACAAACAAATAAAGAAACAAAAACTCATAGACACAGACAATAATTTAGTGGTTACCAGAGGGTAAGGGGAGAAGGGGGTGGTAGATGAGGGTAAACAGGAACAAATATATGGTGATGGAAGGAGAACTGATTCTGGGAGGTGAACATACAATGTGATATATAGATGATGTATTACAGAATTGTACACCTGAAACCTATGTAACTTTACTAACCATTGTCACCTCAGTAAACTTTAATTGAAAAGAAAAAAAGAAAAAAAAAAGGGTGGACAGATTTGATAAGACACAGGAAATCATGCATCTAAAGTTCCTGTTAGCATTTCCTTCTGACATTTTTGGTATCTCCTTGCCCCAGAAGACCTGGGTTCAAACACTAGGCAACCCCCAAAGTAGATAAACATGAATACTAGACAGTACGCATAAACTATAATGTTGGTGAATCCTAAAGTATAAGGTGATCTTCTGTGTCAGTCAATCCAGGTATCTTTCTGGGCTTAGTTTTACAAGCCTCTTCTGTTGCTGAGCAAGTCACCTTAAAGACAGTCATGTTATTTCATCAGGGGCTTCAGAGCTAATGAGAAGAAGCCTAAATGCCCCTTTGCTCCTATAAAGCAGCACCATCAGTCTATAATAAGTATCCTTCAGGAAGCAGCTCAGTCCATAGCCCTCCCCATCACTGCCCAGGGATGACATAACCATTGAAGCATGTGGCAATACCCAATTTCCAGAGCCCTGATTTATTCTCCCTAGGGCTGGGCAGAGGGCATGACTTAGAGGTAGGACTCTTATCTTGGCAGGGGTCTGGGATTGGCTGCATCTCTGAAACCACCCCTGGTGGGTAATTGAGAAGTGACAATGATGGGTTTCCAGGGTGGCCCTTGTGCTTACACTTGCCCTGAATACAGCTATGAAAGAAATCCAGCTCTAGGGTTGAGAGGAGGGGAAGATTATGTAAAGCTTGCTAGCCCTGGCCTCCTTTGACTTTAGTAGAGTGAGACCTGGATGCCAAGCTGGGAAACCATGCGCAGTTATTGAGTTGGCATAGCATGAGGCTTTACTTTCAGAGCTTTTATTGCCCTTGCAGAACACTGAGCCCTCTCTTTGTTTGCTATCTATTCTGTCCCCCAGAGATAGCCTCGTTTTCTCTTGAAGGGATTTAAAAAAACAAATCACAGTTCTTATTTTATGTGGTGTCCACCACTGAGAATTCATGCAGAGTAATTTTACTTGTTGCCAATTAAGATCTCCCAGTGGAAGTCTATGATTACAGCAAAGGCAACCTATTTAATACTTTGCATCTCCTTAGTCTACATAAATTAACCCCATGAGGATAAGGACATGCTAATTCTTAAGATGCCTGGAAAATACCATTCAGAGATCCAAGATGCAGAGAACGTAAATCTCTGAGAGGCTCTGGGCTTGACTTTTTTGGGAGCATATGTGCTTTTGCTTATTATCTCTATTTTACAACTACAAAACAATTTCTAGATAACACATTAGCAAAGAAGTTTCTTTTTTCAAGGATAGAATAGCATGGGCCTCTCAGTAAGCAATTTTAATATCACTCACTCACAGTTTATGGAAATCAAGGTTAGAGTTGAAAGAAACTGTAGGCACTGGTGTCAATTAGCTATATCCAAAAAATACATAAATAGGTCAAAATTTTGGAGAACATCAGTGAGTATTTGGAATATAGATAATTTTATTTCAATGTTCACGCTACTTAAAAGCAACATTTTGAACCATGATGAGGATAAAAAGAGTTTGCCCACTTTCCTATCACTTTTTTCCTATCACTTTCCTTAGACTAAGAATCACATATAAGCCACAAAGCAAAAGTCTATTTTTAAGAATTTTGGATACACTGAAATCATCATTTTATTGTTGGAAGGGCTAGGCCTAACTTAGGGAGTCGTATTACAACAGGGATCTATATACTTTTCTTTTTTTAAAAAAGATTTTTATTGGGGAATTGGGGGATGGGAACAGCGCTGGGGAATTGGGGGAAGGGGAACAGACAAGTTGCTATCCTTTTGTTCTTCAGCCTAG